AATTTTGACAAGAGATTGGTTTTTTGGAGTGTTTGTTGGTTTGTTGGTTGTTTTTAGATTTTTTTCGGACATTTTCCCTTCCGATGTCCACCAAAATCCCTATCCCCAAATTGCGCCCAACAATTGGTCGACCTATTGCCCTAACCAGCAACAAACCAACCCAACAGCAACACCCTGCTGTGCACCCACCTTCGTCGCACTTCCTTAGTCCCTGGTCAACACAAGATATGTGTGATCCCTCCTCATTGACGCACTGCCACCCATTAGTGTAGTCATTTGCTCGAACTGATGTTGCGTATCATCTGCCAGTGGTGTTGGCGGTGGGGGTGGTGGTGGTGGAGTTAGAGGCGAAGAGGAAGGGTTGGGTTGTGAAAAAAATTGAGATGTAGAGTGTTTTGAAATTTTACTAATTCAGGGGAGTGAAAGAGAATAGGGTTTGCTATTTTTTAGACAAAAAGACATAAATATCCTTTGACCCTTACAGTAAATAATTTTATGTTAATTTAAGAATGAAAATCTAGAATTTATGAAACCGGAACTTGTAGGTTTACAGACCTTAGGTGGAAACATGTTTAAAAAAAAAAAAATTAAGTAAAGGCTTATCCTCATTGACACAAATTTAAAATAATACTTTCTCCGTTTCTCTTTAAAAATCGTTTTAAGTCATTACACGTTTTTTAATAAATTAATTTTTTAATGTAAATATTTTTTCTCTTTGCTCCTTCTTCTGAAAGTGAGTAGGAAATGACAATGATTGATGGAAAATAAATGGTTTTTAAAGAGAAAGAGATGGGAGATGAAGGGTGAGGAAAAGAGAGAGAGGAGATAGGGGCATACTTCGAGAAAGAGAGAGAGGGTTGCATTCGGTCAATCACATTTATTTTAGAAAAAAATTTGCTCCTTCCCCTAAAAGTGCGTGGGAAATGACAATGATGATTGATGGAAAATAAATTACTTTTAAAGAGAAAGAGAAAGAGAGAGAGAGAGAGAGGAGATGAGGGGTGAGGGAAAGAGAGAGGAGACAGGGGCATACTTCGAAAAAGAGAGAGAGGGTTGCATTTGATCAAACAGACATTTATTTTGGAAAAAAATTTGCTCCTTTCTCTTAAAGTGCATGAAAAATGGCAATGATGATTGATAGAAAATAAATGGCTTTTAAAAAGAAAGAGAAAGAGAAAGAGAAAGAGAGAGGAGACAAGGGCATACTTTGACAAAGAAAGAGGGTTGTATTTGGTCAAACGACATTTATTTTGGAAAAAAATTTGCTCCTTTCATCAAAAGTGTGTGGAAAATGACAATGATGATTGATGGAAAATAAATGACTTCTAAAGAAAAAGAGAAAGAGAAAGAGAGAGAGAGAGAGACAGGAGATGAGGGGTGAGGGAAAGAGAGGGAGAGAGGAGACAGGAGCATACTGGGTGAGTGAGAGAGAGAGAGAGAGGAGGTTATATTTAGTCAAACAACATTTATTTTAGAAAAAATTTATAAGACTAAAACGACTTTAAAAAAGGAATAGAGAAAGTAATAAATTTATAAAATAAAATAAAAATGGGGCCAAAAATTCCATAGAACGAGGCTCACGGGTGTGCCCCCATATCAGACACGCACATCAAAGCTTAGCACTCGCGTCGTACGGACACAATGTAGCACCTCAAGCGGTTCAAAAATCTCCACGTGTAATTTTCAACTAATAATTTATTGTGATTAACCGACTAAAGTAAATGATAAAGAATAAGTAGATGTGTAAACACGCTAGTTTCTTGCCTGCTCAGATCTTTTCTTTTTCACTTTTGTTGTTTTGGTCAACTGAAGAAATCATCTTATTTCTTACTGTTACAGTTAAAAGGAAATATTTTCATGAAAATATGTTTTTATTATATATTAATCTGAAATTGAAATTGAATATAAATATATATATTTGTGATGCCCTACTTGATATAACTTCATTTTTTAAAGTTATAATACATTAATGTATTATTTAGTATGATTAATTATGATTGCATTATACTTAAATTTATTGGATTTTATGATTTCTTTATTCAATTTTCTTACACAACCTAGTAATCGAGTAGTCTTAACTCTTATTGAATCAAAATAAATAAATAAATAATAAACAATTAAAGTCATATATTATAGGTATAAAATAATAGTTAGACTATTGTAACACGAATCTTTTATATAGATTTATGAGACAAAATTTTAGTTCTTGATTTAATATAATTTAATGGATCAATGGGAAGTTAAAATTGGTTACATTTAATATTAAACTTATTAAGTTTTAAATTAGTAAAGAATCATGACTAAATATTGTGTTTGAGTCTGGATACTATAATTTGAATATCAGTTATATATTGTATATTTGTGTTATTAGTTAATTGAATACTTTGCATTTGAAATACTATATTGATTTTAACCAGGGAAACCATAAAAGCGTTAAAACTAAGATTGATATTGCCGTATTTTTCAAAATGTATTATTGACAATGAACCGTATTAAACCCGTATATACCTGTACCATATTTTTCCCGTATCCGAATTTTATGGCCGAATTTTTATAAAGGTATTTTTCACCGTTTTCCGTATTATATCCGTAAAATTCCCGTATCTTTTTTTGCCATAGTTGTATTTACTAACTAGGGTTACGACCCACACTATTATTATTCTCTTTCTTGATCGTCGTTCATTCAAACTTCTCAAGTCTTATTTCCCTCGACTTTGTCAATCATCGGTAATCGAGTAATTTGTGAAACGCGTAGCTGCCTCTCTCAAATCAAATTTCACCTAATCCCGATCATTACAATCCAACCTATCATCACCAAAAAGCTTATCGACCTCCCCTCTTCAATAGCCCTAACAGTTTGAACCAGTTTACTCTTCGTTTGCCACCGAATCACAAACCCTAAGGGAAATATATTTTGGGTAGTAATGGAATATAAACTTTGGGTAATAAATTTGTATTTTGAAACTTTTTAGGTTGGGAAAATGTCATTAAGGTAGACCTTGGGTGAGAAAAAGTCCTTTACTCGAATTAATATTACAAATATAGTTTAATAAAAATATCTTTCACTAGGTGATTTGGTATTAAGGAATTTATATGGTAAACTAGGTTAATTGAGGGAGTCTTGTTTTTTATGTGTAATTAGGAAAAGGATTAGAAACATAAACCTTCAAATATCCCTAATTTATAAAGAACCTCATGAGTTATCTATGATATCTCTAAATTCTCTATAATTAGTGATTGGTTATAAGATACATTTTTGCCACTAGTGAGAATAGACATTTTTTTTTTTAGATGCATTAACAAAATCATTAAGGATAAAGGGTCATAGCTTTTAAAAATACTCGTATTATGGGTAAAAATAATATCACACATACAAAGAGTTTATATAAAATTTTGTATACAAGTATTGTGGAGTACTATTGCATTGCCGCGTTATTTACTATCATTTAAATGTATATTTATTCACTTTATTTTTATATTAATTTATTCAATCATATTTTAGCATATTACCTTATATAAACTCTTTTTAAGCATTGTATTATTCTATAGGTATAAAAGGGTTCAGAACTACTAAAAATAGCCGAGAGATTTTATTAAGATATCTCATCTCATGAGGTTTGCAATTATTATCCCCAGAGAAATTATGAAATCTTTAAGTTAATTACCCATTAATTTATGAACTAGCTTATACGATAATAAAAATTTAGGATTAATACCATCTAGAATCTCTATAGTTTGCATAATTGACAAGTCAGTCCCTGTGGTATTCGAAATTTCGAATTATCCAACTATCTCCCTTGTTGTTAGTTTTTTATGTTAAAATTAATTTAGCATTATCAAAAATTCAAAGTCTAAAAGCAGGAAGAATGAAAGAGCAATGCACTTTCTAGGTAACTGCGTGCATTCGTTGGATTGGATGAGTATATATAACTCAGTATGGGTCTTCCCAAAGAAAAAGATCAAGTAGTGAGAATGGGTGTTCATCATCTGGTGTTGTTGCAAATCATTTTGTTACTCTGGCCAATCAAAGCATCAGGCGCTCATTCATGTCGACGAAGTTGTGGTGGAGTCACGATAGCATACCCCTTTGGAATCGGACAAGGCTGCTACTTCGATAAGGGATTTGAAGTAAGTTGCGACAACTCTTCTGGCTCTCCAAAACCTTTCTTAACTAGCATCAACCTTGTACTAGAAGACTATAGTGGCGCTAGTTTTCGGGTCAACTTTCCTGTCATTTCTTTGAATAATAATAAGAAAATTGTTTCTGAAGACTTTAACTTGTCAGACACCCATTTTTCCTTCCCAAATAACCTCAATACGTTCATTGCCGTTGGTTGTGACAGCTATTACGAGCAGAGTAAATCAACTCTTGCTACATGTCAGTCCTTCTGTCATTGTGATCCTACTAAAGCTCGTGGTTGCTGCGATTTCATATGCACCGTTCCTAGGAATTATACGTTTGATAGTATTTCAACTATATCAGAGGTATATTCCGCAAGTATTCCCCAAGAAATTTAGTGCAATTCTGCATTCATGGTTGACATAGAATGGTTTCAGTCAAACTACCAAATAACGAATTCATCGGTTTTGAAAGGTAAAGAACATTCTCCTGCAGTGCTGGAATGGGGAAGATATAAAGGGTCATGTGTGGAACTATTTAATTCAGATACAACTTGTGATTTGGACAGTGAGTGTATAATAAAATTAGACGCAGGCTATATTTGTAGTTGCTATATTAGCAGATCTGACAGCTACAAAAGATGTTCAGGCACGTTACTCTTAAAAAAATTACTGTAAATCGAAAAAGGGAAGAATTAATTTGTAGCCGTGAATTAAATTAATTTTTTGTACTTTCTCAGGCGACTTGATCTGTAATTCTACCGGCGGCTACCATTGCTCCGGATGTTCTCATGGTTATAAAAAAGATGGAAGTTCGTGCTCTTCACCAAAAGCATTTGGTGATTTATTTATTTTTATAAAGAAATCTCGGGCCGGATTTTTTGCTATCATAGGTACGCTTCTCACAAGTATCCCATTCTGTTTCAAATATATTATTATCCAAAATAAAAAATGTAGAAATAAATACACTCCATGATGATGGATATGCAGTAAAAAATAAAACATGATGCAATATTTATCCTTGAGTTGTGCAGGTTGTTCTGCTGGGCTTGGAACCTTGTTGCTCGTCATTGGAGTATGGTGGTTGTACAAGTTCATAAGAAAGAGAAAAGCAATCAAGTTGAAGCATAAATTCTTTAAAAGAAATGGTGGTTTATTACTGCAACAACAGTTGTCTTCCACTGAAGGTAACATCGAGAAAACACGACTGTTTACTTCAAAGGAATTAGACAAAGCTACCGACAACTACAATGCGAATCGAATCCTTGGCCAAGGAGGCCAAGGCACCGTGTATAAAGGTATGTTAGCTGATGGCAAAATTGTAGCAATTAAAAAGTCCAAAGTTGTAGACAAAGTCAAGTTGAGGAATTCATTAACGAGGTGGTCATAATATCTCAAATTAATCATAGAAATGTGGTTCAATTATTGGGGTGTTGCTTAGAGACAGAAGTTCCGATTTTGGTGTACGAATACATTTCTAATGGAACTCTCTTTCATTATATACATGATGAGAATGCGGAGTTTCCAATCACGTGGGAGTTACGTCTACGCATTGCCTTAGATGTTACAGATGCTCTCTCGTATCTACATTCAGCCGCTTCCATACCTATATGCCATCAAGACATTAAGTCAACAAACATACTCTTGGATGATAAATATCGAGCAAAAGTTTCAGACTTTGGGACTTCCAGATCTGTTACAATTGACCAAACTCATTTGACCACTCAAGTACATGGAACCTTTGGATATGTAGATCCAGAGTATTTTCAATCAAGCCAGTTTACTGATAAAAGTGATGTTTACAGTTTTGGCGTAGTTCTCGCTGAATTTTTAACTGGACAAAGGCCGATTCTTTCAACCGAATTTGCTGAAGATAGAAGTTTGGCTTCTTATTTTCTTCGTGCAATGAAAGAAAATTGACTATTTGATATCCTTGATGTTCGAGTTTCAAAAGAGGGTGAAAACGAAGAGATTATGAATGTTGTTAATCTTACAAGAAGATGTTTGAATTTAAATGGAAAGAAGAGACCTACAATGAGAGAAGTGGCAATTGAATTAGCGGGTAATACTAGAGCGAGTGGAGCCTCAGGGGTGTAGCAAAACTACGAAGAGGATGATTTTGCCGAGTGTGAGACAACAGATCACTATGTAACTGGTTCATCTTTCAGTACTGGATCCTTTTTTGACGGTGTCACTTTAGATGTTGACCCTCTTATTTCCAATTAATGTTGAATTAGTAAATTTCTAATATTTCTACTATATGCATCCTATTGGTACTCGTTGTATCCTTTATGAACTATTTTATATATGTTGTTTGATTATTGTTATGTAATGGAATGCTCATCAGATTGTATGGAAAGACTAATCGTCATGCGAATTTATTCAATAGCCAATAAACCATTGATCATATATATGCAAGAAAATGATTAGCGCCTTGGGTTGGAACCTCATAAAAAGGAGACGGAGCGAAATCCATAATAGCTTTTCTTCTTCATCATTTGGGAGAAGCTTGCTACTTTTATCAGTAGTTTAATGTATCCTCCGAAAGAATTAGAATACACAGGATACATCAATCGATTTCGTTACCGTCAATAACCTTAAAATTCCATAAACATTTTCAAATTGTTTTCCAGGTATTTTCTCGGGTGTGTTTGGTTAACTAGAAAATTGAGCCATAATGTTAGTCTATCGGCTCTGAAACCATGAAAAATAAAGAAACAGAAAACTTAGATCTGAGAGGAAATAAATTGAAGATTGAGAACTTTGTTACAATTACTAAAACCTAATCTGCTGATTTCGCTACCCAGCAGTCTAGGGTTGTTTACTTTGCATAAGATATACTACGAAATTACGAACTAGAAAAACAGAATGGTTTTTTTTTTTTTTTTTTTTAAGGCAAACCTTGTTGGAAGGAGAGAAATTTTATAATAGAAAAAAGAAATATGATACCTAAACAGGGGATATATCAAGCAATGAACCTTACCCTTCAGTAAGACTAAATACGATAATAAAACGAAAAAAAAAATGAAAGAAAACAATGCATAATGGTTAAAATACAATAATAAATATTTGCTTAAGAGAAGATTTAGAGATCAGAAGCTGAGAAACAGCTTTAGCTTAACTGAAGAACTAAATAACTGTAACAATTTCTAACTCAGAGTCAAAAAGATAACAGAACTAACAGAGTTAACTAAACTGCTTTGTGAGTTTAAACACTGAGTCAACTCACTTTGAGCTTTACATGTTCTCTTTGTTGCATACTATTAGTTGAGCAAACATTATTCAAATTTTATATAACATAATTAACAGAAATATTAATGGGTCAAGTAAATTAAATTCTGAAGTAAAGCAAGTTCTTATGTCTGCTACGGCACTGGTTGGACCAAGGCCAATAGTTCTTCAATAGTTCTTATGTCTAACAATGAAAGAAACGAGCTGGGGCCTTCCAAGTAAAGGGGTGCAGACAGGTATTCTAATTATTATCCCCCTATTGACTCGTTCAATTATTGAATCAAATGGCCCTTTAACTCAGTGGTACAGTAATGCCATGGTAAGGCGTTTGAATATAAATGGAGGGCCGGAGGTTCTAAATGTTTTTAAGAGATTTTCTTTATTTTTCGTTTGGCGCTCAGATATTTCACAGAATCCGTCTTGGCCTCCTGATTTCTTAGGAGTGCCAGGATCTTAGGGATACAGACGGTCGGGATAGATCCTATTAATTTGGTATCAGAGCTTAGGTTTGAGATTTTGGACATTTGCATGATACACACATTTAGTTTACATTATTGCCATTTGCATTTTGTAGATATCATTATACGTCGACATGGCCGACCCCGCACAAGACCTATAGCACAGTTGGGGATGCAAGGGGAAAATGAATCTAACCGAGCTAGTAGAAGAGTCAGTTGCCCATCCGATGGTATCCCCAGTAAAGGTAATCGCACTTGTAAATACGGAACAGGCACAACCTGTTGCATCTAACGTAGAAGTCGCATGAACACCAGTGTTTTATATGGATTTTATTAACGGATCTTAACGGTGGATGAGAAAGTGTCTTTTTGAAACTTTTAGGGTGGGAAAAAAAGTCATTCTCCCCTGTTTTTGGATGCCATTTTAACGGGAAGGGGATATTTAATACTTTCCTCAAAGCCTTGGATACATATAGCTGATCTCTCAAGGGCTGGATTATAAAAATCCGTACTTGGAACATAGTGATTGTTGGGCTTACAATTCAATTACCAACCTAATCATTAAAAAATTTTAAAATATTTATATTTATGTATACATCACAAAAAATACATTAACGTTAAAAATTATTCCAACAAATAATGATCACAAAATATATAAATAAATAAGGTTTCAAATAATATAAAATGTCTAATTAATTACATAAATAATTAATTGTCACTTAATACATTAATGCCATCATAATTTTAAAAATAACTTTTAATTAGGATGGGTGTGTAGTGGGCCAAAGTCTGATAATACATGTATCTGAATTCAATAGTGGTGTTATTTAAGCCCACCCAAACTCTGTCCACACGCCAAGATTAATTATAAAAAATAAAAAAAGTAATATTATGTTTACACACTTTTTTTATTAATTTTTTTCTCACAAATGTGATATGACAGCTCACAATTGGTTAGCTCGCAATATGTCACGTCTAACTATATTGGATTCCGTCTAACCAATTGCGAATTGTCATATTGCATTAGTAAGAAAAAATTAGTGAGAAGAGTTTGTCAACTTATCTTTATTGAAAAAAAATAAAATAAAAATAATGCTATTAGCACCTCAAAAATTATCTTATTAGACCAATCTTATTATTTTTTAACTACATCTTTATCCTTAAAAAAAAAAATTACTTAAGAGGACGTTATGAAAATTATATTTACAAGATAAACCATTGTATTATTATTCCAAAAATCTCTTATTTTCCTTATTCATGATAATTATATTTAAAATATAATTACTCTCTTTAATTCTATGGTTTATTTTTCCTTTTCTTTATTTAAATTTTATTTTATCCATTTGTGTGTAACTTTTAAGTTTAGTTGGTTGTGAGCACTGGAATTGCTTTACAAAGAAATGTTAGTCTTAGAATCTTCCGTATTTTAGTTTTTCTATAAAAAAAAATTATTAAATTTATTTTATCTGTCAACTTTTGTGACATCTTCCATATTGGTAGAACGTCCAAATAAATTGCTATATTTTAATGAAGAAAACTTTATTTAATATCTTCAATATCACTTCATGCTATAATAACAGTCTCATGAGCAAAAGGAGATAAATATTAAAGCTAATAAGGAAATAAAAAGGGTTTGCTTATTTATGTAGCTCTAAAACTGTTAATGGGGTATATTTAAAAATGGGGCTTAATATAATGTAGCCTCGATGAACTATGGATTGACTGTAGGCCATGCATAGGTAAAATGGGCCGAGTCATTTTTTGTTGGCCCTAAATGCGAGCCAGCCAAGCCCAAGGGCCCTGCTTTTATCTCATTAAATACTCCACTATTTCTATTCTCGTACTTTCATTTCTATCATGACTAGAGATGTTAAAAGGGCGTGAGGTGGGGGTGGGTGTGGGACATCTACCCAACTCATCAATTTAAATTCAACCATTCCAATTTATTTTATGACCTAAATCCATTTAGTACTTAATTTTAAGGGAGTATGGTTCAATAAGGACTCTTAATATATTACTTCAAGAGATCATCAGTTTGAATCTCTCTTCGATTGTTAATAGAAATATTCATTGGAATTCTTACCTGACCAATGGTTTTAAGGTCTCAAATGATTAGTTGAGGTACGTGAGTTAGTCCGAAGACCCTAGTCATAAAAAAAAAGAGTGAACGCCATATTTCATCCAACGTTTCGCGAATCTATAAGTTCCCACCCCTAGTTTCATAAATTCTAATTTTTACTCTTAAATCAACTTCATGTAGTTTTAGATCGGATACAATATAAAGAGTGCTATTACCAAACTATCCTTAACACGTAAATAATAAATACTTTTTATCCTCCAAATTAGTAGAATTAAAAATAACTATTTACTTTCAAATTTATTTTAATAACATTCTCTTCCCAACTTTTTATTTTTTGGGCTCTCTATTCAACCTTTTTTTTTCTTTTTTTCTTTTGTCTCTTCTTCAACCTTTCTATTCTCTGGCTGCTGCATCGCCGAAAATCACCTCCACCGCACCAATAGACTCATTGGCGTTCCCCCACCAAAACCCCAACCTCCTCCACCTCATTAGCACACCGATCGTTGTCACAAACCCCTTAAGATTTCGCGCGATTATCGCACCTCTCTTGCGAAATTTCAGTCAATCCTGACACCAAAATCACCGCCAATTGTACCACCAACACCCTTCCAAAAGCCCCAACACCCCCAACCTCGATTGCTCGTAGTTTGCCATCCACACTCTCTTAGGTTTTCACTTAATTGATGAAATTAGGTTTAACTGAGGTTAATTTTGACAAGAGATTGGTTTTTTGGAGTGTTTGTTGGTTTGTTGGTGTTTTTAGATTTTTTTCGGACATTTTCCCTTCCGATGTCCACCAAAATCCCTATCCCCAAATTGCGCCCAACAATTGGTCGACCATTGCCCTAACCAGCAACAAACCAACCCAACAGCAACACCCGCTGTGCACCCACCTTCGTCGCACTTCCTTAGTCCCTGGTCAACACAAGATATGTGTGATCCCTCCTCATTGACGCACTGCCACCATTAGTGTAGTCATTTGCTCGAACTGATGTTGCGTATCATCTGCAGTGGTGTTGCGGTGGGGGTGGTGGTGGTGGAGTTAGAGGCGAAGAGGAAGGGTTGGGTTGTGAAAAAAATTGAGATGTAGATGTTTTGAAATTTTACTAATTCAGGGGAGTGAAAGAGAATAGGGTTTGCTATTTTTTAGACAAAAAGACATAAATATCCTTTGACCCTTACAGTAAATAATTTTATGTTAATTTAGAATGAAAATCTAGAATTTATGAAACCGGAACTTGTAGGTTTACAGACCTTAGGTGGAAACATGTTTAAAAAAAAAAAATTAAGTAAAGGCTTATCCTCATTGACACAAATTTAAAATAATACTTTCTCCGTTTCTCTTTAAAAATCGTTTTAAGTCATTACACGTTTTTTAATAAATTAATTTTTTAATGTAAATTTTTTTCTCTTTGCTCCTTCTTCTGAAGTGAGTAGGAAATGACAATGATTGATGGAAAATAAATGGTTTTTAAAGAGAAAGAGATGGGAG